GGTTTCGTCTACTTGTATTCTGTATTTCTGTATTTCTCTGTTTTTTTGTTCATTCGCCTTCGTGAGATTACGTTCACGGAAGGAAACGGAGTTAAGAATAGGAGGAAGCAGGCGGAGAGAACGATAGGACGCAGAGAGAAAGATAATAAACGAGATACAGAAAAAGAGAGAGAGAGAGAAATAGAGAAAGAGAGAAAGAAAGTGAAAAGATAGAGACAGAGATAAAAGAGAAATATAAATAGGACAATAGGTAGCAGTGGAAGAGAGCAGAGCGATGATTGAGAGAGAAGAGTGTGGGAGATCGAAGGAGAAGAATCGAGAATGCAAAAAGAAGGAGATATATGCGGTTAAGGTGAACGGTTAAGGTTAAATAAAATGCAATAATTGTATTGGAAAGAGAGAGAGAGAGAGATAGATAGATAGATAGATAGAGAGAGAAAGAGAGAGAGAAAGAAAAAAAATAGAAAAACTCAAGAACAAGGGGGGGAAAAAGTAACTGATGATTTTTCGAACGTAAACGATCTGAACATTGAGGGAATGTGATAAGATGTTGAAAGAACGAATCTGTTGTCTTTTTGGTGGTTTCTTTTTCCTTTTTTTTTTTTTTTTGTTTTGTCTCCTCTGGTTAGTATCAATCGTTCGATCGAAAGTTAAATTTCCGATTTAAAGGGATTGAGATAGTGTCTGGACGATATTATTACACGCAATTAGTGTCGTATGTATATATATATATATATACACACACACATATATAATATTTATATATAACTATATATGCATTCATATGATAATTATATATAAATGTTATATACATCGGCGGGTGGAGAACGTATGAAGAATATATATATATATATATAAATAAAATACATATAATTGGTCGTCGATCGTTGCTTTTGTGTCAGTCGAGACCATTGATATAAAATATTGATTTATTTTGTAAGTTTAACGTTTTTTTTTTTTTTTTTTTTTTTTTTTTTTTTACGTTAAGTTTAATGTTTGTATGTCTAGATTGAAATGGCTTACCGCCTTGCTCGTCCAGCATTACGAGGGTTTTCATCCCGACCTCGTGGCTCTAAACAGGCAACCGACCAATCAGCGGCGTGTTAAACGTGAAATATATACAGGAAGCACCGTCGAAACGCTCCCTCGCTTCGTTCCACGACACACAATTTTTCTCTATTTTTTTTTTTTTTCTCAATTCTTCTCGCGTCCCCCAAGCGAGGGCCCCGACAGAGGGAGACCCGAACGACCCTTGAACTTCCTTTCAACTTGGAATCGCTAATCAACGAGGAATCGGACCGCCTCGACCGTCCACGAACGCTCATTACCCAGAGAGACAGACTCGAGAGAAAAAAAAGGAAGGACGAATTGCAAGTTGAACACGGGTTGATCGAACCATCCATTGTATCCATTCGTTTCATTTTCGAGGCTCTTCGCTATTACTCTCTGTCTCTCCGTTTTCCCATGTCGGCCCACACACACGCTTTTTCGCTTTGTTCTTTTTTTTTCTTTTCTCGGTCTCGTTAGACAAATCCTTTCGATTCGGGCCCGAGAAAGTCGGATTCATCGTGGATAGCACTCTGTATCTGGACTCTATATCTCGTCCATCATCCTGGTGGAAGGAGCGAGAGGGCGCGTACGGCGACATTTTATCCTGATTATATTATAATTCTATTGCGGGTCAGGCTGCTGGAGGACTGGGAATTCTTTTATAGATTTTCTTTTTTTTTTTTTTTTCTTCATTTAGTGACAGTGAACTAGAATTCGATGTGAAGTTGGATTTACCAACTGCGAAGCTGGGACAACGCGTTGGGTGAACAGAGAATGGAGGGAATGCATCTTGAGAATAATTGGCTTCGAGATAGTCGGTCGCGATTCGTCTTCCTTGAGTCGTTTTCCTTCGCTTCGCGCGTTAACGCGGATCGAAAGGATCGAGGTATTTTCATTAAAATGGGAGAAAAAAAAAAAGAAAGAAAAAGAGAAGAGAGAAAAGGAGGATAACGAAAGATCACGAAGGTGAAAAATTCATTCCGATGAGTGAAACGACGAAGCGAGGAAGAGACGGGACGACGATTTTCATTGCGATCGAACGGTTGGTAAATCCAACGCTTCCTCCGGGGGATGGAAGAATTCTCTATATTGGATTTAACAAGGGGGGGGGGAGATTGATTAAATATGCACGTCGATCTGTGAAATTTTTTCAAGAGCAAAACAAATTACATTACTAGTTATAAAAAAAAAAAAGATTATTATATATATAGGCGGCACTAGCGTACGAAACGTGTGGTCACACGTTTCTTATTATATATAATTATATATATATCTGTTATCACGGAGGGTGGCTTCAAAGTCTCGTCAAGGAGGTATAATGGATAATCGAGTCGATATCGATAGAGTGAGTAAGTGAAGTAAGGATGAACGGATGAGGGGGAAGAAAATGGATTTAATCGATGAAGCGAATCGAGTTAGGGGCGAGTGGCTGGCTCGGTGGCGATGATGCGAGAAGTCGAATGTTAAATAGGAGCAGACAAAGGCGTAGAAGCAGATTAAAGGAAGAAAAGACACGCTTCGTTTCCAGTGTAGGCACTCAGAGGTACCGTGGCGCTGTAAGATGCAGAATTAGAAAGTTGTTTTAGCTAAAGGACAGAAAAAGAGAATCAGAATCAGAGATATAACGCGCGTTCAGTTCCCGAATAGATTAGGCGGAAATCACACAACTATTTTACACGTCGGTACACGTTAAGTCAGTCGTCCATCGATTAACCCGTTCCCCAACAAAAAGCTAGTCAAGCAAAGTTTATCTCTTGTTCTTTCGTAATTTTTTCTTTTTTCTTTTTTTAATTTTATTTTCTTTTCTTTTTTTCTTTTTTTCTTTTTTTTTTTTTCTTCTTCTTCTTCTTTCCCTTTCCCGTCTGCGAATCAAGGGTCGCGTGATTTATCGAATCGAGTCAATCGTCTCGGTGAACGCGAATCGCGATTCAAGTGTTATGCCCTTGTCGAATAATCGCGCACGCGATTTCTCGGGGAAATTAATATAATCTGTGAAACGACAGGATATTAATAATTCACGGGAACGAGTTGTCGATATAACGCGAATAAAGCGTTGAATTGAATACGCTTATTAGATACGTGTCAAAGTGTGTCTATCTATTATTATCGACGAATATAGTCCCGTCAAAAGTGTACGGAAAATAAAAAGATCTATCTTTTCTCTTATTTTTTATTTTTGTTTTTCTGTTGTCTTTAAAATTAAAAAAAAAAAAAAAAAAAAGAAAAGAAAGAAAGAAAAAGAAAAAGAAAAAAGAAAAAAATCGTCAAATCATACGAAATCGAGTGAACTGAAAAACTTTGTTCGTCCTTACTTTTGTATTACTTTTGGTTTTTTTTTTTTTCAATGTCCC